TTGCTGCACTTATTCATTTTTTTAAAATATATTTTATTGATTTTTTACAGAGAGGAAGGGAGAGAGATAGAGAGTCAGAAACATCGATGAGAGAGAAACATCGATCAGCTGCCTCCTGCACATCTCCTACTGGGGATGTGCCCGCAACCCAGGTACATGCCCTTGACCGGAATCGAACCTGGGACCCTTCAGTCCGCAGGCCAACGCTCTATCCACTAAGCCAAATCGGTTTTGGCTGCACTTATTCATTTTAATGCAGTGTTTATCTGTCTGTTCCCTCACAAGATTTCACATGAAGGGTGGAACCCTATACCTTACTTATATTTGGATTCCCAGTGTACAATATCTGTCATACAGCAAGTGACCAATAAATCTTTGCTTCATGGATTCTCCATTACCTTATTTTTCTCCCTTATGCCTGTCAACCCAAAGAGAATGAAAAGATTCATCACTATGTATTAATCCTAATAGAGCCAGACATGTTTCAGTAATTTTTATATAAAAAATAACCTAGCCCAGCCGGCGTGGCTCAGTGGTTGAGCGTCGACCTATGAACCAGGAGGTCATGGTTTGATTCCCGGTCAGGGCACATGCCCAGGTTGCAGGCTCCATCCCCAGTGTGGGGCCATGCAGGAGGCAGCTGATCAGTGATTCTCTCTCATCATTGATATTTCTATTTCTCTCCCCCTCTCCCTTCCTCTTTGAAATAAAAAAAAATTTAAAGAACCTATTATTTTTAATATCTACTTAGAAAAAAATGATAGGTTTGTGTGTAAGTTAAGAAACTCCATAAATAGCAACCAATCATATTTATGAATTCTCAAATATATTCTTATAGAATTAAGGGTAATTGAACTTTAGATATTTAAAGTTCTGCAGCCTCAACATCATGTAATTTGGGAGCAATTCTGTTATGAGAATGCATGCCCTAATTGTTGGTTCAGGAATTAATAAAAGGCACATCCTTGATTCGGGTGTTAACTTTGGCCCATGATTTATAAATGTATAAATGGCAAAAAGACATTTCAAAATCTTATATCTTCCTGGGTGTGTTGTTTGAGCTGCTGAGAAGCAGCTCCGACTCGCTAGAACTGGCCTGACATTTATAAAGACATAAACTCCTGTGTCGCGGGAGCTTAATTATTACTTAAGAGCAGAATTGTTAAAGTGGCTCCCTCACTTTTGCTTATGTAAGGAGGAAAAAAAAAGATAAATTTCAAAAATGAAGTTCCGTCAAACAGTTTGCACTGCCAGCTACTCTATAATTCATTTTGGGGACGACTTTTACATTTGGTCTAGGAGGGAAGCCAAATATCAAATGCGTCACGCGCTGCTGACAGGTAATAATAAAGTCTTCAGAAAGAAAGAAAAAAAAACTTGCCTTGCATGAGGAAGATTTGAGGATATTTACAGAAGTATTTGAGTATCTTCAGAGTACATGCGCTCCACAGCAGCTGAGAGGTTTAAAGTCTTTTTTCTGTTAGTCACATAAAGAAATCTCTCATGGTTACTTGAAAATTCTCCCATCAGGAGAAAGAGCCCCTGCGTCTGATCCATGAGACAGACATGAACTCTTAGCCAATAACATCTTACTGTCCGGTACTTTTCCACTTCATGTGTACGAAGAGGAACTTCAACAAAGGAGAGTCGTCGCTTGGGAGGGTTGAGGTGCATTTTGCTAGCCTGGCATGTTTTACTTCCTTCTAATCTTGCACGAAATGGAGGTTGGTCTTTGTTAGAATGTGTCTTCCCTCCAAAGATATATAGGCTGATAGCACTAATGATTCGCAATGTTTAACAGTAAAACTGTTTTACTTGCAATGATTCCAGGCTTTGAATTATAAATGGAATCATTTTACATCTTTTGGCATTAGTTGAAATACATGGGAATTGGTCCAGATTTCCCATTAATAATGTATCAAGTAAATGTTTCAGAATTATTAGAGTTGATATCTCTATTTAATTGGTGTTTGGAAAATACATTTTATTTATCAAAATACACATTTTTAAATTTATGTAAATTTATAAAGATTTGAAAAAAATACCCAAATTAATTTTAATGGGTAGAATCGTATTATATATATGTACTCTGTTATGTTTATCCTTGTATATTAGCATTTTTTTGTTTATTGTTTGGGGTAATTAAAAATTCTACCTACACTCAGGAGATAGTAAGAGATGGTTTTCTACTGCGGTCTCATTCTAAATTACATTTCTGTTTATTTGACTTCAAATTTAACTTCTTGGGAGACCTGCTAACTTAACAAAGTGGGTAAATCTTGGCCTCTTTCCTGACTTAAGTCAAATCATATGCAGTTTTGGAAAGGCATCAACTTTACTTAAAAATAATACCCTGGCACAGCTATGCGAGTTATAATTTTCATGACTACAGTAGGCACAAAAGGTGTTCAAATATGGAAGAATGAATTTGTGTTTGAATAGACAACTCTTTTCACAGTCTTTTACCCAGTCCTTCTCGACTAAAGTAACTGGCTCTGACTTTACCCCTAAAATACAACTGATTTTTTTATATTGAAATCCTGTCCCCTCTATTTATAGATTATGACTAATTCTTGATGATGTGATGAGGGAAAGGAGTATTAGTCATAATCATGTCTGACTTGTACATGGTGTGAACTGTTAGGTTGTTTTTTGTTAAAGTTTTATGATTACATATCTGTCCAGAGCCAACTTAAACATTACAGATGATTTTGGGTTAAAGGAAGAATGCTTACTCTTTTAACACTTTGGTTATTTAATATATAAAGAAGGAAAATCTTTAAAATATACTAAAATTCAAAGAATGAACGAAGAGGATCTAAATCCCACTCAGCCAAGTGCTCTCAGAAGCTGGGGAAAGTACCCAGTTTAAATGGCTAGGAAAGTAGAATTATGGGATTTTATTGCTGAAAAGGGACTTAAATAAGCCCATTTTACATATGGAGAAACCGAGTCTGGAGCGGTGAAGTTGGTGCACTTCAGCCTCATGTTCTGATTTCTTTGCAACGTATTCACTTCTAGATTGGTCCAGCTGGTAAACTCTTCCTGGCAGGCTGTGAGGCCTGCGGGATGAAGGTTTGCCTAGCTGTTTATAGCACGAAACGGCTATGTACAGTTCAAATGCAATTATAATAAAGCTGTGTATTTTGGCTTTGGGTTGCTGAGCTCTCAGATGGACAGTTCTAGCCTTGAAAACATCCTCCTGCCCATAATTTCCTTTCATTGTAGAGAGGCACTTGCCTATGTTCCCATTTTTCGTGTGCAGCCTCCTGCTTCCACTCCCAGCTGTCCTGCGTCTTGTGAAAGCCTGTCGTTCTTCCAGGTGGGGAAGCTTTTAAAATGGATCAGCTATATCGCTTACTAATATTTTACCGTCATAGCCTCTATTCCCAAATTCCCTTAGGCGGGGGGGGAGCAGGTGTGGGTGATCCCAGCATTGGGTGTGCACTGTAACCTGCTCAAGGTGGCAGGCTCATCTTGGGGAGATGAGGCAGGACTGGTAGCACGGGGTGAGGTGAGGTGTTATCTTGACGACCGCTGAATATCCTGGAGGCACAGAAGGGTCATAGAACAGGGCTTTAGGAAGATGAAGCTGGCAACAGTGTGCTGGATGGAGTTGGGAGAAAGCAGGAGCAAGACACAAGAGATAGGAAGATTCAGACTTAAAATGAGAATCCTGGACTGGAGAGGAGTTCACCACCTGCAGTCCCCTTGTTTATAGATTTGGGTCGAGGCCTAGGATGTTGAGGTGACTTCCTCAGTGTGACACAGAGGCTAGTGAAGGAACTGGGTAGAGCCAGAATAATTAAAATTAGACTCCCAATCAGTGTTCTTTTTTCTTAATTTGAGATTTAATTGAAATGTCTACCTGGCTAATTCATGCCATAGTTTAGATGTTACTTCTTTTAGAAAGAAAGCCTCTGTGATCCCTGGGTGTTATTTCCTCTGTATGTGCTTTCATAAGACCCTACACTTTGCCCACCATAGCATCTCCCCTGCTATGTTGCAATTGCTTAATGGTTGGTCACTCCTTTGGACTGTGAACTTCCCCATGAGAGGACCAGTTCCTGTCTTGTTCACTGTTTGTTTCCGAGGGCCTGGTATAGTATCTTTCACAGAGAAAGTGCTCAGAATGACTAACTAGCTGAAAGGATCCTATATAATAAAAGCCTAATATGCAAATCGACCGAACTGCAGAATGACCAGTCGCTATGATGCGCACTGACCACCAGGGGGCAGACGCTTAATGCAGGAGCTGCCCCAGCCTGCAGGCCCCAGGCCAGCCAAGGTGGGTGCCAGTGGGGGCCCCCTGATCGCCCCGCTGGTTGTCCCACAGATTGGCCCTGATCGCCGGCCAGGCCTAGGGATCCTACCTGTGCATGAATTTTGTGCACCAGGCCAATAGTAAATTCATGTAGGAGGGAGAGAAGTGGAGAGATGAGTGGGGAAGAGAGAGAAAAAGAAACAAGGAGAGAAGAAGGGAGTAAAGGAGAGAGGAAGGAAGGAAGCAAGGAAAGGAGAAACAATTAAAGATTTAGAAATAAAATAACTAATTTAGAGTTATTACAAAAGAACCTTGTGAGAGAGAGAAAAAGAAACAAGTAGAGAAGGAGGGAGTAAAGGAGAGAGGAAGGAAGGAAGGAAGGAAAGGAGAAGCAAAGATTTAGAAATAAAAATAACTAATTTAGAGTTATTACAAAAGAACCTTGTTTTCAACTAGGCTTTTAATGTGTCTTTCCATAAAGCCCATTAATATTGATTTAATATGATGTTGGCATAATGGCCTTTGAAAGTCATATATGATGCAAATCATATTGCTCATGACTAGGTCCTGTCTCCTCGTAAAATGAGTAAAAAATTTCAAGTTAGTAAGGGAAATTATGACAAATCTAAGGATCAAATAAACTTACTTGCTACCTGTTAAATAGACATTTAAAAAAAAAACAGGAGAGAAACATAGAAAGGAGGAGGAGAGACACAGAGAAACATGGATCTCACACCGACATCATCCTGCGTGCACCGAGATGCAACCGCAGAAAAATATGGCTCAGGAGACTAACCAGACCCCAGGGCCCATGCTGTGTAGTACAGGATGTGGCTTTTATGGGAATCCTAGGGCAAATGGAATGTGTTCTGTTTGCTACAAAGAGCATCTTCAGAGGCAGCAGAATAGTGGCAGAATGAACCCAATGGGGACAGCTAGTGGTACCAACAGTCCTACCTCAGATTCTGCATCTGTGCAAAGAGAAGACGCTAGTTTAAACAACTGTGAAGGTACTGCTGGCAGCACATCTGAAAAATCAAGAAATGTGCCTGTGGCTGCCTTGCCTGTAACTCAGCAAATGACAGAAATGAGCATTTCAAGAGAGGACAAAATAACTACCCCGAAAACAGAGGTGTCAGAGCCAGTTGTTACTCAGCCCAGTTCATCAGTTTCTCAACCCAGTACTTCTCAAAGTGAAGAAAAAGCTCCTGAGTTACCCAAACCAAAGAAGAATAGATGTTTCATGTGCAGAAAGAAAGTTGGCCTTACAGGGTTTGACTGCCGGTGTGGAAATTTGTTTTGTGGATTTCACCGTTACTCTGACAAGCACAACTGTCCATATGATTACAAAGCAGAAGCTGCAGCAAAAATCAGAAAAGAGAATCCAGTTGTTGTGGCTGAAAAAATCCAGAGAATATAAATTACTACTTGTGAAGAGACTGAAACTTTGTTTTTATTTTAATATATCGTAGGAAAACATTAAAGAGCAGATGCATGGCCATTTTCCTTTGATGTTTTCCAGAGTTTTACTTTATACTACTTGTCTGTCTTATAATTGATATTTTAGGATGTTTGGGTGTTTGTTACAGGCAGAATTGGATAGATACAGCCGTACAAAATGTATATGTCCTCCCTTGAATAAAATTGGATGGAAATCTGAAAACAACAACAACAACAACAAAAAACAACACCCACATTGATAGTGCAATCAACAAAAGGAAATTAAACACATTCTCATATCTTCTGTCTGTAATTTAAATGCTGTGGGAAAAATTTCATCCCGAAATGAGTTTTTCACATGCTGCCATCGGATCTTGAGGATGTTTATGAGTCTGATGGAATTGTCAGGCACATTCTAAAGCAAAATTTATGACTACATTAGCTCATAAAGTTTCTAGAAACAAGGATTTTCTGAACAGAACATTTTTATTGCAAGATTTAATAATCAAATTTAAGATGTCAGCTTGAAACCTATTCTTTATATGAAAAAAATTCAGCCATTTTACCTTCAGTGTTCATATCAATGATGCAGATAAGTATGTAAATGGATAGTAATATCTGATTAGTTAACATTAAATGAAGTTATTGAATTTGCCAAATAAAAGTAATTCAAATAACCAGAATTGATTTAAGGAGTTCATCAAAGTTCTTGCAACTTACATCTCAGCAAGAAGTACCTTTTTGTTGAGCAAATGACAAGTTATATATACAGGTAGGCAAGAGCTAGGTATATAGTTAGAGAAAGCCTGGTGCAGCTGTGCCTGGGGAAGTAGGATGGGACCAGAGTATTCATGGCTTCATAAACCATGTGAGAGGATTCTGCCCTTATTCTAAGGGAGTAGAAATCCTCTGAAGGATTTTAGAGGAGGGTGGATGGAGAAGGCATTAGAAGCGGAGGAGAGTGACTGAAGTAAACAGCCCAGGGTGATATGATATAATAGAGCTGCTTCAATGCTGCCTTGACCCCAGCGGTCAGTCAGTGTCCCTTCTGGAGCAGTTGATTAAGTCCACACCACCAACCTCTTCCTATACTGGGCTCTCACACTCTGGGCCACTATTCACCTGCTCTGATCACCACAGGCCCAGATACCAGACAACCAGCCACAGGCCCCATGCCCCAGAACCCATGGAAATTATTCAAACTAGCCAACCCTAAGCTGGTTTACACTGTCATACTCACTCCTTCCTGTGGAAACCACAGTAAAGGCTCCTGCCCACAGTCCCCCTCTTCCCACTGCCTCAGTGGTTCCCTGTGTGGCCCCTGTGGTGTGACATGTACTCCCGCTCTTGGGAACTGTGAGTAGAATAAACTCTTCTCAATGGCAGATCTGTTGGCCTTATCTAAATAATAACAGAACTTATTAATACTGGACTAAGTTGATGATGAAGACAGCAAGAAGTTGGCGAGGGCAGCGATATTTAGGAGGTAGCATCCACAGAATTCTAGGATGAGAAATGTCTATTCAAGCCTTTTGCCCATGTTTAAAAGCAGGTTTTTTGAATTCTAGGTCCCTGTTGAGGATGAGGGAAAAGTAGGTGATGAAGAAGACTCCAAGATTTCTGGCTGGTGTGACAGGGGCCATTGAGCAAACTGGGAGAGGCCCTGGTTGTGGGATGGAGTCTTGAGTTCAGATTGGGGCACAGTGATATTAGGGTAACTTTGAGATATTCAAGGGGAAATGGCAAGGAGATAGTCTGCTGTACAGTTTAGGACTGGTGACTGCATCTGTTGGGAAAGAAGGACATTTGAATAATCAACTTCAAAATATCTCAGCAAGTGAGAATTATAGGTGGTAGAAATCGCCAAACATGGCAGTCCTTTTATGAGGAATACTTCCTGCAGGGAATGAGACCTGAGGCAAGAGACTACTGAGCAGGAGGAATAAATATGAACAAAGGTACAGAAGTAAAATGTGTTTTGCAAATTAGGACAACAGTGAATAGTCCAGCTTAATGAAAGCAGACAGTTTGTAAGAGGAGGAGTGGAGTTAGGTGTAGCGTACTACCCAGATACCAAATTATCCTGCCCTTGAAGGGCCGGAAGGTAAGGAGGTTATTAAGTGCCAGTAGTCCTCTGACACTTCATTAAGAGAATTAAATCGTGGTTTTCTTGTTCAGGCTTTTCTGTCTTTTAGAATAGATGTTCCTGCAGGACAGAGATTCTCCTTTGCCTGCCGATTCTGCTCAGCCAGTGTAGAGAGTATTAATGTTTCAGGCTCAAAAGAAGCTTCTCCAAACATTATCCTGTTAATGGTTATTTCAGTCAGCTATCAAAGATTTATTATAAGTCTACTGTGTGCCCAAATCACAGGCCCCAGTCCATGATCCCATGGAAATTACAGATTTGTTGGGGAGATAGACTTATACTTACACAGTGATTTAAAAAGAGAGATGTGGAATCTAAAAATTAATGCCAAGAAGAATATGTCATGAAACATTTCTATATTTGTCCTTAAACATTTTTACTGTGTATTTCTTTTTAATTGTGGTAAAATACACATAAACTTTGCCATCTACACCCAGTAAACAGTAACTCCCCAGTGTCCTCTCCCTTTCCAGCTCCTGCAAAACCCATTCTATTTTCTGTCCCTATGAATTTGGCGACTCTAGGTACCTCATATAAGTGGAATCATACAGTATTTATCTTTTTGTGACTGGCTTATTTCACTAAGCATAATGTCCTCAGGGTCTATACAGGTTGTAGTATGTATCAGAATTTTCTTCTTCTTTTTAAAACATGAATAATATTTAATTATATATATGTGTGTGTGTGTGTGTGTGTGTGTGGTGTGTGTGTGTGTGTGTGTGTGTGTGTATAATCTACCACATTTTGTTTATTCATTTATCTATTGATGATCACTTGGGTTGCTTCCATCTTTTAGCTTTGTAAATAATGCTGCTGTGAACATGGACATACAGATATCTCTTTAAGATCCTACTTTCAAACTTTCAATTCTTTTGGTTCCATAGCCAGAAGTGGAATTGCTGGACAATGTGGTAATTTTATTTTGAATATTTTGAGGAACCACTATACTGTTTTTTACATAGTGACTGTAGCATTTTACATTTCCACCAACAATGCATAATAGTTATAATTTCTTCACATCTTCTGCAAACACGTTTTATTAATAGTTGTCAATTATTGGCTCTTATTGGCACATGTATATCTTTTTTGGAGAAATGTCAATTCAAGACTTTTGCCCATTTCTAAAAGCAGGCTTAATTTTGTTGCCTCTGCTTTTGGTGGCATATTCAAGAAAGAAACCATTGCCAAATTCATTGTTATAAATATTTTCCTCTTTGTTTTCTTTTAAACGTTTCATAGTTTTAGCTCTTATTATGCTTAGGTCTTTTTTTTCATCTTGAGTTACTTTTTGTGTATGGGATAAGGTAAGGGTCTACCTTCATTCTTTTTCATTTGTATATACACATTTCCCAGCATCATTTGTTGAAAGACAGTCCTTTCTCTATTGAATGGTCTTAGCACCCTTATTGGATGATCATATGTATGATCATATATGTACAAGTTTTTGTGGGTTGTTTTTTTCTGGGTTCTCTATTCAGAATTTTTTTTTTCCTCTTGGCTCTCTATTGCATTGGTTTCTTGCCTATCTTTATGCCAGTACCACACTCTTTTGATTACCATAGCTTTGTAATAAGTTTTGAACTCAGAAAATATGAGACCTCCAACATTGTTCTTTTTTTTCAAGATTGTTTGGCTATTTGAGATCTCTTGAGATTCCATATGTATTTTAGGATGGATTTTCCTATTTCTGCAAAAATCTGCTTTGGGATTTTGATAGGGATTCCGTTAAATCTTCAGATGGTATTGACATCTTAACCAGTATTAAGTGTTTTAATCTATGAAACTAGGCATCTTCCCACTTACTTGAGCCTTTAATTTCTTTCAGCAATGTTTTTTAGTTTTTAATGTACACAAGATTTTTTTGTCTCCTTAAGTTAATTCCTAAGCATTTTATTCTTTTTGATGCTATTGTAAACGGAACCTTTTTTATTATTAAATATTTTGTCATTAATTTAGAAGTAGTATCTCACATTTCATGGCTAGGAAGTTTTCTCCCCCAAACCAGCCTGTTTTGCTGTTGTTTTCTCTCCATTTTTATTTGGTATTTACTAAGGATTTTATCAGGAATTTTTTTTGACAATTTTAGTTTAAAGCTCTTTCAATAAAATAAATGAATCCCTTCCCAAATATACATTTATGCAATATTTTGACAACCTTCTCCCTATTAATTAAGTGGTCCTGCAAACTGAATCTTTTCTTTGATCTCAAGGACCTAAGAATTTGATGACTTTCTATATTTTATTTTTTCAGTTTCCAGAGGCACATCTTAATATGGAAACAAATAAAAATGTAATCTGTGCCCCTAGGATAAAAGCCATTGGTCTGTAATTTATTGACTAATTCATTCAACAGCACCAACTGAATATCCATTATGTGCCAAACATTGGAAATCCATACAAAATTTCATTTCTGATAGTATCAGAGACATTTCTATCAGTCCCACTGGAGTTTTATCTACACTCTGATTGTTCTGATTTTTCTAGCCTCTAAAATGACAAATTAATTTTATCATAATTACAAAAACACTAATCAGCAACATTATTTAGCATTCATAATGTGTCAGGTACTAGATAAGTGCTATCCTTACAACTAACTTATTTATGACTCATAACATCCAGAGGAAACCAAGGCAGGAAGTGCTGATGGCCACATGACAGTAATTAGAGGTGCTAGGATCCAACACAGGCAGTCTTGTCCCAGAAACAGCTCTTACAAAATAGACAAGTGGTGAATCAAATTATGGGATATCTTTTTAATATGAAATCATATGTGTAATATATATTCAATACTGCATGTACAAAATCTATATATGTATGTGTATGTGTGTATATATATATATATATGCCTAAGTTACAGTTACAACCGGTTGACCGAACGACCGGTCACTATAATGCTCACTGACCACCAGGGGGCACACGCTCCAT